TTATCTTATTATTCTTAGATGATGTAATACGAGTAATACAAATGTTAAGCATGTAAAATGGCGACAGCAATTTATATTATAGTTACAAATATGCTCTTGATTTTCCAAAACTTAGGTGATTGAATGGTGGTCTGTGTTTTAAATCCCTTTTAGAAAGGACAATCTTGGAATAGAAATTTACTTCATTGATTCGAGCATACTGACTAGCTCCCGCATCTCAAATCTCGGTTTGGAATGTAGATCCGTGATCCTTGGCATGTTTATGAGTATAACTGCGCAACATTTTGCATCTTATATACTTAATTTTAACAACATAGCAACGTTCTTGCTTCTATTTGCCAGCTTCACATTTCTGTAATTTAGATGCTGATCGCAAAACCCTGCCTCTTTGCTGTCATGAATATTGTCCTAGGTGATGCTGCATTTCAGTTGAAGCATTTCTTTTCGCTGAGAACGAACTGTTTGGGAAAGGCTGCCAATAATTGCAGATCAAAACAGATTGTAAAGTGTCTAGAATCTTCTTTTTTTTGTTTTTTTGTTTTTTGTAAAGTATATCTTTTTCATCTTCAATCATATCAAGTGGAAGTATTGTAACATTTATGCATATGTTATTAGCTTGACATGGTCACTGTAGTGGGGCAGGGTCTGACCTGGAGCTATGATTCTTGATTGTTTTGATCATATTAGAAAACGAGTGACATGATGAATTTCTGTTTCTTTTTCTTTTTCTAATAGGAATCCATATTATTCCCTCTTATAATATTTATTGCATAAATGATAAATCACGTATAAAATAATCACCCACACAGTTTAGTAAATTTTGGCGCGCCATCAGTCTCCTCCACTGTCGCCGCGTCCGGTAAGGCCCAGGCACAGTACAGGTCCCATACATCTGTATCTTCTTTTGCTGGAGACAGAGTCACCACATGACTTGTGCTTCAAGCTGCTTGTGAACTCTGAAACCTAGGGTCCGTTTTGGTATGAGGAAAAATGAGAGGAGGGGAAGGGAGGAAAAGTTTTAATAAGTTTGATTTAAAACTTCACTTTAATTTTTTAAACAAGGTTTATTAAAATCTTCCTTTCCCTCTCCTTCCCTTCTATTTTTCTCATACCAAACAATATCTTAATCTCACATTCCTATAATCTATAGATGACAAGTGATCTGAGAAACAGCTTTATGGAAGTTCAATGAAACTGACAGAGACTGGTCGTTTACGCCAAGGATTTTTTAAGCTACCCGAAAGACTTTGATAGTTTTATATTCAAACTTGCTTGTTGAAAGAGAAAGCCTTAACTCCTCTGATTCTTTTCATAGTTTCATCTAAGTAGTTTATATTTTAATATTTTGACAGAATTTTTCAAATAATATGAATTTCAGTATAAATTTTTTTTATTATTTAAACTAAATTGAAACATCTAAATCTCGTAGGATTTCTCCAGCCAAGAGAAATTCAGTTGTGCTGCATATATGACCAATTTTTTTGGCCAAAAAAATGTTTTTTTACGTTGACAAGGGAGTCAAGCTAACTATGATTAGGCGCTAAAAAAATAGTTAGGGGAAGGAAAGGCAAAGTTCATTATTCTCTGTCGGGGAAAAAGTTTTTTTTGCTATAAAATATTCTAACGTTCTCTCCCTGCCACTCTTAGCCTACCTAAAAAAAATGTTTGGTTACAAGAATTGCACAATATTATTATGCTTCATAAATAACTAATTTTTTAGATAAATTATTAACTGAAAAGTTTTAAGTTGATCCATGTCAAAATAAATTTAACAGAATTTTATGTTAACTATGGAGGACCCAACAAAATCCTTCTTTTATCTTTATCCGAGCTTGGGACTAGTTATAAAATATAGTGGAAGCTGAAAAGGAGAATCTCAAACTTTGGCAAAAGTACACTCATTTTCCAGCTCGTTTAATTTGTTAAACTTCGATGGGAAATTAAAGAACAAAAAGATCAAACTAACCCCTTATAAAAGGACACCGATGAACCAAAAATAACTGTATTGAAAGTTCAAATCGAGAATCAAACTATGTATCTAGATACAAATATATTGATACTAAATAATCACTCATCTATGCTTATTATTCACAAATAAACGAGCAAAAATTGAATTCAATAAACTCAATAAGATTATATATATATACAGCAAGCCCCGAACCCAGAGATGAACTATTCGAGCTACTTGGAACGAGTTTTCCAACAATATTCATTCCTAAACATCAGTACGAACTCAAAAGGAAAGTCGGTGGAAGATTTCAGAATCTGGTTTTGTTTGAAATGATGAGGAAGATCAAACGCAGGCCTGGCCACCGCCGTCACAGGTGCAGCCGCCGTTGCCGGAGACAAGGTCGGGATCATGTTGAGGTTTGGTGGTGAGACAACAGCAGATGAGACCAACCAACAACATGAAACCCCACGCAGTAGCCAAAGCCTGAGCCCACCTCAAGTACTGCTCCATTTTTGTCCCCTCTCTCTCTCTCTTTCCTCCCTTTCATTGTCTTTCTGCCTCTGAACCAGAAGCTTCACTGTGTGCATCTATATACCTTTTAGGAAAAGAGAATAATGGCATCAAGAAGCAAAGCATAGCTAGCATGGTGATGAGAACTTCAGGCGCACATGGGCTGATGAGCTTATTGAAATAACATGGGCTCACATTCAATTACTTAGTGTTAATTAATACATGCGTTTGGCCCAAATGCAACATCCCTTTCAATTTATAATTAAATTTATTTGAGAATATATATGTTATTTCTTGTTATGTATCAAGGAAAAACACATTGTTAATCTCAAGTCTAGATTTGTCATTTTTCAGTAAAGACGTGTCATTTTCAAATAAATTATAGTCATTTTCAATTAATGTACATGCTACTTGTTATGTATCAGGAAAAGTTGCTTTGTTAATATCAAATTTAGACTTATTATTTCGCAATTAAGACTTGTCATCCTTAGGTAAATTATTGTTACGGGCTGGAGTCATAGTAAAAGAGTCAACTTATATTTTTATTTATATTATAAAATTAAGAAGTATGGCCCAATGTTTATCTTCTTTTTTGTTGGCCCAAATGGCCAAAAGTTGTGAGATCAAATCCCACCTCCACCACTTCTTACAATATTCTCCCATTAAAAAAAAAAACTGTCACAAAAAAACTCTACAGATGCCATTCGTCAGCGGTGGTTGCCGGCCGTTGACCACCGATGAGGGGCTGAGCTTTTCAAAAGGGGGAAAAAAAAAAAGATAAAGGGTATTTTTGTCATTTTACTGAATTTCAAAATTCTAATTTAGGAAGGACTTTCTTCTTTATCATTACATTTTCTTAGTTTCCTAAATTGAAATATCATATATTCTGCCATCTTTATCTATCATTTCCCCCTAAAAGTATCAACTGAAGAAATATGAGAAATTCAATACGGAAGCCGGACGAGGAAGAAAAATGAAGAGGCTTTTGCTTGTGATTGGATATTTTTATTAATTGTTATGAGCTCATTGAATAAATTTTAAATATAAGGAGGATCGCATAGCAGTGATTCAAGAGTGCAGCAAACAGTACTCTTCTGAGTTCTGATTCCTAATTTAATGACTAATTAACTAATTTTAATAAATTAAGAAATTTAAACAAATTATTTAATTCTAATAAATATAACCCGGTCTCTTTAAAATATCATTGTATAACATTAGATATTATATATGAGTCTATAAATTAGATAAATTAATTTGGAGGGAAATGAATAGAAAATAAAGTGAATTAAGATCTATCGTTCAACTTTCTAATTAGCTTCAGCATTTGGACTAGAGGAGTATAAATTAAACCAAATGATAATTGGAAGAAAAAGGGAATCATGCTGTTATTCAGTAAAGATTTCGTTTAAAATTCCCATTTGATTTATTCCATCACGCCCTACACTTTCTTTTGGTACTTTATTGCATAATAACACCAATAATAACCAATCAATTCATGTCTTTGCTTAGAGCTTTAGGCCTTTCCCCAGCCAAAGAAAATACTGAAAACAAGGAAATATATTTCTTGACGTTTGCATTATATGAGGCCCTCAATCATCTATGGAAAATAAGAGATCAGAGAAAGCAACAGGGACCGATGGGCTGTCTCTTCCATGACTTCAATGTTTACCATTAATGAATATATTATAACAAAACGAAATTCACTGTCACCACAAAATTAATGTTTCTTCACTTTTTTAGAATAAATCCTTTTCTTAGGCCGTCCCCCTCAATCCCCCGTGATAATGTCATTCTATGACTTTTCATGAGGACCAGCCTGCCGGCAATCATTGTAACTTTGTTCTTCCATATTTAATACCTCTCAGGTCGTAAATGTAAAGAGCCATGTTATATTATATTTAGAGGTGGTTTGGATATTCTGAAAAGTGCTTATCAGAAACACTTTTTCGTAAATCGAAATAAACTTCTCCACATATTTACCTCGTAGACTGTAAAATCACTTCTGAAATTATAGTTTGGTTTCCATTCAAACACTCTCTTAAAACGGAAGAAGAATAAGAATTAGTTGATGGGTCATATTTAATTTGTTCTGAATATAATTTGATTCTAAATATTATATTTCAATTCATTTTATTTATGAAATTTATAATCATCTTATTTATTGTACATATTAAGGAGAATTCTCATCAAGAAGTAATTTCAATACACATAATCAAAAAAAATAGTTTAAAGAAGTCAATACATACCCTTTGTTCAATATCTACAAATTAATTATAAGTTGTTAATGTAGTATTATTCAGAGGATACTCGAGACTCTTTAAATTTTTCTGATTTAAAACGGTGCATTTAAATTTAATTAATCTCATGCATTATATGGATAAAGATTTTCATGGTTGAATAATGAGGATGAAGCTGTGCCACATGTTTGGCCTCATAAACAGTCTGCGTAGCAAGTGGCGACTTCTGCGGATTCAGTCCATTAGAGCTCATTATATACGTCTGATGCACACAAAGTCACAGCCAACTTCAGTTCATCACCATGGGCTGCACTTTTTCCTTATCAGATAATGCAAAGAAAGATGAAATGAAGAGATGCAAATCCTCCAGAGATCATGCAGCTCATCAATTAGCTTCCCGCAAGACTAAGAAGACTCAGCGACGCCTCCATCATCGTTGGCAATCACGTCACGTCTATAAATCCGGTGGCGGCCGAATGGGAGGTGCTAGCGGTGGCGCCAGAGATGGCGACATCATCCTCATGATGGGTGCTGCAGTTTATGTCCAGATGGATTCTGGGCTTGGTATCTTCCATGCTGGTGGTGCCTGTGGCAGCGGCGGAGCTTGTGGTGGCGGCGGAGGTGGAGGCGGTGGAGGGTGTTGATGCGTGTGCGAATGGAATTATTTGAATCGTTGGAATTAATTGTATTTTAGAAGTGAAAATTAATAGACAAAATTTTGTCATTAAGGTTCGTTGTTTATATACCTTCTCAGCAAAAATTAATCATGATTGGTATAAATTTTTTATTAAATGTAAAATCTTTATTTATTTTTATTTTCATCTAAAATAATTAATATAAATTAAAAATATATGTTATTTCAATTTGATACCACCTCTGTATATATCTATTTGTAAACCATCTTACGAACAAGTTGCGTTGTTATTGTTCTATTCTCTTTCTATTTTTCGCTGGCAAACAAAAAGTCTCCTTCTATTTTTCTCTTGTTTAAATAGCGGACGTTGGATTAATTCGATGGTGGTCCCTATTAATTGCTCACATAGTTTTAACTAAAATTTTCTACCTCATTAAAACCCAGATTGTAATTCTTGCAAATTTTCCAATCTGTCGGCACGAAAAATGCTTTTTTCCTGTGAAAAACTGTTTTTTAACTGTGCATGGAAAGAAAAGATGGCTTCCTTCACCCTTTCCCGTGTGATAAAAAAAGATGACTTCCTTCGCACATTGATGAGAAGATATTTTCCTACATAAAAAGGATGAAAGTTGTTATACAAAAAAAAAAAAAGACGAAATTATCTCTATTTAAGTTTATTTATAAGCTGTGGGAGGGATATTAGATCAAATTAGTAAAAATATATTAAGGGCATTAACATGAATATAATTGTAAATAATTATTTTAAACTTTGTATCAATAATAACAAAAAAATCAATTTATTTAATAATAAATAAAAAAATATTTAATACTTATTTTGGTATATTTCATTAATAACTATTTTCATAAATAAATATTTTCATATTTTTATTAATAATAACAATAATTAATTATTTAAGTATTACTTTTAAATCAAGACCATTAAAATTTTTTTTTTTGGCCAATGGGCATTAAAGTTATTTACTCCTCACTTTTTCTCATTCTATCATTATTTTCATCCTCTTAAATACTCCTTCTGGTCCTATATATAAACTTTACTTTTATAGAAAGGTTTGGTTCAAAATATAAGTTTTATTTTTGAGTTTGTCTGAATATTATTATATTTTTTTTATTTTATCCTTGGTTGACTATATTTAGTACTCTCTTTCTCTCATTAATATTACCCCATGTATTCTCTTTCATCATTTTTTTATTTATTGCTTTTCTCATTTATTCTCTTAATAAATGAAAGCAAATTTGAAAATATACATTTCTAACATATTTATTATTTTAAACTAATTTTAACTGCTAATTCGTTAAACGTAATTTAGTTATTTGAAGCTTATATATAAGGTCGGAGGGAGTATAAATTTTTTCATCAAACTATTTTCTACTCCAACACATATCAAACATGCCAGTTTTTCATTCCATTCCTTTTCACCACAAACAATTCTCCATAACAAACTGGCCCTAAAGAAAAAGTAGATGGCATAGAAGGATATGTATCACTACTTTCGATTCTAATTATAAGATTTAATTAAAGACTACAAATGATATCTTATAATTAAAACGAGAGGTAATACTAGCTAATTCCTTGTTGCTAGTTACAAGTGAGCGCATAGTGTATTTTTGTCTAGTAGTACAATCTCACATAAATAAGTTCCACCTCTCATTCTTAATATAAGATACAATTAACTAATTAAAAAAGATTAAGAAAGTTAAATAAATTATTTTAAAATATTATATTTATCATTTATTCAAACTAATATGTCTAGTTTATATAAGTTGATATATATATAATCTAATAATACACATAAATATTTTAGAAAAATCATATAATATATATCAAAATTAAATAATTTTTTATTTTCTTAATTTTTTTAAATTAGTCGACTGAATCTTATATTAAAGATAGTAGTATTGGTTTTCTCAAGTGCAATCTGCAAGTATATACATTTCATTGAACCGTGACTGATCATAAGCAGATGTTTTGTTCAGATAAATGCGAGGATAAGAAAAAATCCGGGTAAAATAAATTTATTGTTGATAACACATCTAATCTTAAGGATAATACAAACAACAAACTCAGCAAAATCATAGTTTTGCACATTATGAAAATCCACTCGAATTTAAAACTTGGAAACAAAAACGAATAGATTAATATATATACAAGAGAAAACAATAGTAAATCATAATAAAAATAACAAATATAGAGATAAATACAAATAAATATGAATCAAATCACATCTAAATTATCCCAAAAAAATCATATCTATTTATTATTTTTAACTAATTTTAACTGCGAGTTTGTTAAACATAATTTGATTATTTAAACTTATATATATTTGATAATTCGGTTATTTTTCATTCCATTCTTTTTCACTACAAACAATTCTCCCTAACAAACTGGCCCTAAAGAAAAAGCAGATGACATAGAAAGATATGTATTTTTATCTCATATCCTAATTATAAGACTTTATTTATAGATTACGAACAATATCTTATAATTAAAACCAGAGGTAGTACTAGCTAATTCCTTATTACTAGTTACAAGTCGGCACAAAGTATATTTTTGTCTAGTAGTACAATCTCACATAAACAAGTACTATCTCCAGTTCTTAATATAAGATACAATTAACTAATTTAAAAATTTAAATAAATTATTTTAAAATATTATATTTATTTATTTTTCTGAACTAATATGTCTGGTTTGTAAATTTATATATAATCTAATAATACAAATAACCATGGTTTTCTCAAGAGCAATCTGCAAGTATATACATTTCGTTGAACCGTGATTGACCATAAGCAGATATTTTGTTCAGATAAATGCGAGGAGAAGAAAAAATCCGAGTAAAATAAATTTATTGTTGATAACACATCTGATCTTAAAGGATAATATAAACAACAAACTCAGTAAAATCATAGTTTTTTCACATGATCAAAATCCACTGTGAATTTAAAATTTGGAGATAAAAACGAACAGATTAATATGTCCAAGAGAAAACAATGGTAAATCATAATAAAAATAACAAATATAGAGATAAATACAAATAAATATGAATCAAATCACATCTAAATTATCCAAAAAAGAATCATATCTAAATGACGTCAAAAAAATATATATCAACATTAACAAATCATTTCAATTCAAACATTAATTATTACACGGGCGCAAGAGAACATAAAGAACTTTCAAGCCTCCACGGCATCTGTTTAATTTTGCAGCGATCTGGGTAGCAAGTGCCATGGCCACTTTACTAACCTTCAAGTGCCGATAGTCGCTTCTTCATTGAGGTATTTTAATTTACAAGCTTTTTTTTTTTTGGAAGATAATCCTTTGTACTCAGGGGCCAAAATTCCATGTTTTAGGGATTCAATTTGAAGCATCAGGTCACAAATCTCCCGGAGGAGAGATCGCGTTCGCGAGCCCGGCGCTGGTGCTTACGAAGCCAAAACTGCTCTTGACAAGGAATCCGGCGGTTCTTCCGGCAAGGACCTGTCAACGGAGCCGCTGGTCAGAAAAGCTCGATGTCGGTGCCAGAAATCGTCTTGGAGCCGGAGAGGAGATCGAGAGGGAGAGGACAGGAGAGGATTTGATTATAGGTAATTTAGTAATTTAATTCTCAAATGTTACTTTTATAAGGGAACTCATTTATTAAAAATTTGGGGGACTTCTAAGGAATAAATGTATTAACTGGGGATTTCTAAGCAATTTTTTCCAAAAGCTTTTTCTTGCTTATTAATGACGCCGGCGGCACCCGCTCATATGTGAAATGGTTTTGCGTGAGCATCCCAAACTTTTTATATCTTGACCAAGTAAGGAGTATCAGGAAATGATAATTTTTCTAATTAAAAGGATAAACTTAACAATTAGGGTTAGTGGGGAAACCAAACTCATAATTTCACATTCATACTACGAATTTTTTTGGGGACTAATTCTTTTCTTGTGTACATGATTTTGTGATTTATTAGTCACTTATATTTCAAACCTACAAACTAATAAATTTATTAAATTTGTAAATTTTTTACATTTATCCTTATTAAAGAAAAGGTATTAAACATATTTCTTTCACTTATTTACTTTATCTCTCTGCATTTATTAAATTAGTAGGGGCAAAATTAAAAAAAAAACTCATTAATTACCCTATAAGTGACTTACATTTAAGAATAATTTTTTTTTACAAGTGACTTATGAATAGAATGATAAAGACTTAGAAGAAGTTGAGTAATTCACTTCATATATGAAAATACATAAAAGAATTGTCATGTAATTGCTGAGGAATTTGGGGATAGTGTTGCGGAAGTTAGTATCATTCTTCTTGGCAATTTATTGTAATGAATATATGTATTCAGGTCAACGACTCCAGAGGCGACTCGGATTCATTGTGTATATAGGCGCACAAACTTGGAGGCAATTCACATCCAATCCAACATTCAATTCACTGCACAAAGCCATGGGGTGCGGTTTTTCCGTAGGAGATGGGAAGACAAAGGAAGGGAGAACAGAGGCTCAAGCTGCCCGTAAAACCAAGAAGCAGGCTCAGCGACCACGTGCCCACCGTCGCCGACAACCACGTTACGGGTATCAAACTGGAAGCGACGGTGGCATGATCTTCATGACGGGTGCTGCAGCTTCTGGGATGTACGGGGGTGGTGGCGGTTGCGGCGGAGGAGGAGGGTTGTGGTGGAGGCGGTGGTTGCGGTGGCGGAGGAGGTTGCGGGGGCGGTGGATGTTGATGCGTACATGGATAATAACATCTGGACCTCTTAATTAATTAGCTAGTAGTATTCTAGAATTGTTTTCAATTTTTCCTTTTTTGGTAAGTGAAATATGTTAGTGAGAAGACAAATTATATGTAAATGAGCTTGCTTACATGTGTCGCGTACTCACCGCGAAGACATGAGCAGAATTCTTCACCCAACTCCGATGCCTAATATTTCTCTGCACAATCTTGTGCAGAGTCTGCTATTTTATTACCTTCTGCATTAATATAAGATTTTGTTTGACTTTCATTTGGTCTTAATTATAAGACCTTAACTATTTTGTCTCTTATATTTATATATATTTTTTCAAGATAGTCCCTTTAATAATGATAGTTCTATCTAATAAACTTGATTAGTAAGGATATTTTAAGAAAACATACCTAATTATTACAAATAACTAATTTAGTTTATTTTTTTAATCTTCTCAAATTAATCAACTAACTCTTATAACTAGGACCAACGGTAGTATTTGGTTTCTTTATTAGAGGGGAAGTGAAAGAAATGGAACGAAGGTCCAGTTACAAGCGCATGAAACAGAGTACTGAGAAATTACAGAAACAGAGTCAGATTAACCCCACTATTTTTTTTTGAAAAAAATAAAGATACGGGATAATTCTGTAAGTTTTCATGAGAAGAAGTTGAGATACATATATAAATGTGCAACTGAAAAACTATAGACGACCCGTAAGTAGGTGGTGTATCATATATACAGAGGATTTGACGATGGAACTGGAGTTTTTTTTTTTTTTTTTTAGGTTTTTTTTTGGGGGGGGGGGTGTGGAATGGGATTCGAATTCGTAGTAATTACATTGAGAGGCGCTAAACTAGAAGTGAACGCAATGGCATTATCGTCGCACGGGTCGCTCTTTGCTTATTCATCTTTGCCCTGCTATTTGGAACGTGGTGCCGGGGAAATGGACCCCAGACGGCGTCAAGAGACGGTGTTGCTATTGTTGTCCACCATCACCGCCCATTTCATGGCGGCGGAGGAGATGCGGAATGTGGCGGTGGAGGTATTTGTTAGACCTACGTATCTGATCACAATGAACTCACGGATAATACGGCACAATTTTATTGCTAGTCAGATTTGATTAAAGCTTTGCTGTGAATAGTTGTTAGTTTTAAAACACTTGGAATCCTTGTAGAGCACTCATTCTATTCAGAAATGTGATGTATTTTCTTTTTTTTGGAAGTACCATGTTAAAAAAATAATACTCTGATACTACTTCTGATCCTTAATATAAAAGCTCGTTTGATTTTTATTTTAATCATAAATATAAGATTTCAATCCATTTTATCTCTTATGTTTATTTATTTTTTTTCTAAAATAGTTCTTGTACTAATTGTAGTTATAGCCAATACCAATACACTTGATTGATATTTTAAGAAAGATAATATCTATTTATTGTAAATAACTAGTTTAACTAGTTTTTTTAATATACTCAAATTAGTTAATTAGTTTTATATATAAGAACTGAAATAGTAATTTTTTGTCTCTGAAGTTATGATTAGTAAAGTCTGGTGACGGCAACAGAAGTTGCGGTCGGCAAGGGATGCCGGACGGGGTCTGTTATTATGAATGGAATTATTTAGATCATTTAGTATATGGGTTTTTGTAGTTTTTGGGAGTGGAAATTTGAGCAGATCACAAATTCTTTGTCATTAAGTTGGTCGTTGTTGTAACAATGAGCATTTTTAAATATTCTTCCAGTCTTAAATATAAAACTCACTTTATAATATAAATTACACTATAAAATAAATTTTAAATTTAAGACCGGAAGAATATAAGTTTGTTTGGAGTTTCAATTTGTTTTAAAGATTAAAATTTTAATCCACTTTATGTCTTAAATTTATTAATTTTTTCAAATTAATTTATCTAACTTATAAATTACTCCTCCGGTCCTAATTATAAAACCCAATTGACTTATTTGAGGAGATTAAGGAAGTAAGTTAAGTTGGTTATTTATAATAAATAAGTGTTGTCATTCCTAAAATATCCTTGCTAATTAAGTATATTGGCTAAAACTATCATTATTAGAAGGATTATGTTGGAAAAAAATACATAAATATAAGAGACAAAATAGATTGGATCTTATAATTAGGACCAAATAAAAAGTCAAATTGGGTCTTATAACAAGGATCGGAGGAGTAATATATAATTAGGATCAGATTAGCAAATTGAAGAAAATAAATGGATGAAATTAGATATCGTTTGAATGCGTAACTGGGATCGTTTCCCATCCTTATCATGTGCATGCATGTGGATCCCCTCTCCATTAATAATTTATCTACGGTGTGAAAATGTCGACGTTGCTCACTTTTGGCCATCTGATCAATCAAACATTGCTACATTGATTAATTAACACTTGATTCAACGAGAGAAAGTGAATTACGGGGCATTCATTCTTTTTCCCCTTTATTCCATCGAGACGACCTTTGGAATATATATGTGTATATAGAAACTTGAGGTTCAATTTTGGTATTTATTTTTTCATCTTTTTTTTGGGTGAAATAATTATTTTTTCATCTTTAATTACATGTAATTTGCATGGGTGTGTATTTAAAGTTTTTTTTAATTTATACTTTTTAAACAATAAATTTATGTTTTCAACGAAGTAATTATTAGAATGCCGTTTGTATTTTAAAATAGATTATGTATGTACTATCTCTCAAAATAAATCTATTAGAAACACAAAAATAAAATAATATTAAGTTTTTGTTGCCATAAAAAAATAATATTAAGTCTAAACTATCTAATTTTATATATTATCAACGCTCCAAATTTGAGGGCCTCGAGCAAAGGGGCGCGGGTTTCCTTCCATTTCCAGCGGGAGATGCAAGGGAATCAAAAAAAGGGAAAAGAAAAGAGAGTCAACTCATCACATTTCTTTCAAATGCTAACTCCTAAATTTTGTTAGCATCAAGCCTTTTTACTAATTCATATGTATGAAATGGCCGGTTGAATGATACTCCTCTGGTCCTAATACATTTATATTTATAAGACAGAGAAAAAGATACTACTTCCGGTCCTTAATATAAGACCCTGCTTGACTTTTATTTTGGTCCTAAATATAAGACTTTAATCCACTTTGTCTCTCATATTTATACATTTTTTCCCTAAAGTAGCTCTTCTAGCAATGATAGTTCTAGTCAATATATTTGATTAGCAAGGATATTTTAGAAAAGACAATACATATTTATGACAAATAACTAACTCAACTTAATTCCTTAATCTCCTCAAATTAATCAACTGGCTCTTATAATTAGAACCGGAGATAGTATTTCTTTTTATCATATTTATAAGACAAAATTTTTTGTATAGATATACAATTTTATTATTTATTTATTATTATATTGATTTTGTTTATATGAGATATAATATATTAAATAGGAATAAAATTAAAAATTATTAATTTTAAATAAAAATTAATAAAATTTAAATTTTTTATGAAATATTTAGAAGTGATTTATAAATAAAATCATACGTGTACAAGACAACCACCTCATCGTCGGCAACCACGTCACATGAATAGAACTAGAGCTGACGGCGGCATGGTCTTCGTGATGGGTGCTGCGGCGATGTAAGGGGGAGACGGAGCTAGTGGTGGAGGCGGAGGCTGCGGCGGCGCGCGGATGCTGATGCGTGCATAAAACAATTGATCGATTGTTTTTGCAGCCGAGAAAGTGTTCATAAATATATTCATAATTTCGCTGTAAATAAGCTTGATGTTATTTTTAATTCTGGTCTTTGAAATTTAAAAGAAGTGGTTTTTCAGAAATAAAAAAATCTTTAGACGGAACCCAATAAGGTTACATTTCAGGCATCATAGTTTCAAATTTCAAGCACTTCTACTATAACTAAAGCGCAGCTAAAATTGATACTTTAAATATTCATACCCAAAAAAGACACAGTAGCGAGCTTCGTCATAACATATAGGTGTGTCTTGACACTCCCCCCCCCCCCAAAAAAAAAAAAAAAAAAACCCCAAAGAATTGCCGTGTAATTGCATAGGAATTTGGGGGGAGTGCTATAGAAGTTAGTATCATTGTTCTTGGCAATTTATCATGAATTATGTGTTCAGGTCAACGACTCTAGACTTTAGTCAATCGGATTCATTATATATAAAGGCGCACAAACAAGAGACAAATCACATCCAACATTCAATTCATTACTTAAAGCCATGGGGTGCAGGTTTTCCGTCGGAGATGACAAGAAAAAGGAAGACGGAACAAAGGCTCAGGCTGCCCATAAAACTAAGAAGCAGGCTCATCATCGACCACGTACCCACCGTCGTCGACAGCCACGTCACGGATATCAAACCGGAAGCGACGGTGGCATGACCTTCATGACGGTTGCTGCCGCTTCTGGGATGTACGGAGGTGGTGGCGGTTGCGGTGGAGGAGGAGTTGTGGCGACGGTGGTGGTTGTGGCGGCGGAGGCGGTCGATGTTGATGCGTACGTGGATAATATCATTTGGACCTCTTGATTAATGAGTTAGCAGTATTCTGTATGTTTTCAATTTTTTCTTTTTAAGTATGTGGAAACTGTCAGTGAGAAGACAAATTCTACGTAAATGAGCTTGCTTACATGTGTCGGGTACTTACTGCGAAGACATGGGCAGAATTCTTCACCCATACATATATATGTATATATGCCTCCAACTCCAGTGCATAATTTTTATCTGCGCAATCTTGTGCAGAGTCTACTATTGTATTTGGTTTCTTTATTAGAGGGGAAATGAAAGAAATTAAACGAAGGTCCAGTTACAAGTACACGAAACAAAGTACTGATATGATGCTGATATAATAAAGAAAATACAGAAACAGAGTCAGATTAACCCCTTTTTTGGTTTTGGGTGATGAAGATTAACCCTTTACTAATAAAAAAAGAAAAAAAAGATATGGATAATTATGTAAGTTTTCATGAGAAGAAGTTGAGATACTACCTCTCATTCTAATTATAAGAATTAGTTGATTAATTTGAGGAGATTAAGGAAAGAAGTTAAATTAGTTATTTATAATAAATATGTGATGTCTTTTATAAAATATCCTTGCTAATTAAGTGTATTGATAGCCACCATTACTAGGAAGACTATCTTAAAAAAAATATAAATATGAGAAATAAAGTGGAATGAAATTTTATATTTAGGACAACAAA